CCTAAGCTCTGGAATAATCCAGTTCCACAACAACCGTTTCTAATGCTATTAATGATTAGAATTTATAGCCTTATCGTGATAGAGGTCAAATATCATTAAATATGCAACCTTTAAATAAAAGAAAAATTTCCTCTTGTTTTTTAATTCGTATAATTTTTAATTTCAAAATCTAAAAAGCAGTCTTTCAAAATAAGCGTGCATGTTTTTTTTTCTTTTCGACATAAAGTCAGAATGCATGACTTTTTTAAAAATAAAGATATTTTTATAAAGTATATAATTTGATTCAACAGATAATATAAAATACTGAAATTAACATAATTATCTTATCACACATAAGTACAAAGGGCCATTTCACAAGAAATTAATATATTAAACATTAATTTTCTAATAAAATAAAAAAACATTTCTTGTTATGACCAATTAACATTATCATTTATATAATTATAATCTAATTTCAAATTTAAATAAGACAAAATATGAAGATTCTAATAATTTTGAATATTTTTTATCAATAATAGAGGAACAATTTATTTATGTAATATTGAATTTCATAAAATATATATAATTATATAAATTAATTTATATAAATAATGCAAATAAGGCAAAAATTATTGTGCAAATACGATAATATAATATAGAAAAATTATTCAGAAAATTATATCTTTAAAGTAGATCAAAAGCAATATTAAAAATTTATATATTAATAATTCTGTAATAAAACTGTTATATCTATTATGTTATGTTGAACTTATATTATTGTGAAGGTGTAATCAAAACATATATGATTTTAAAACGATTCCAACGCCAAATATTATTACTTATTAATTTACTTAAAATATTTTGATTTTTTGTGATTGTAAATCTCAATAAATTATTAATGTTCTATGTAAAGATATGATTTTAAATTTAAAATATTAGCAATATGTACATATTGTACAACAAAGTTTAAAAATAAATAAGATATCTACAGTTCATTATATTATCGGCACTGAATGTTGTAAAAATATTATATATTTAATTGCAATGTAAAAGAATTGATTACTTGAAATAATATTTTAATCAAATTTATACTCAATCATAAGCTTTGCTTAAGCAAACTCAAAGGAATAAAATATATGCATTTAATCAGCTTAGACCTCTTATTTAAGCCACTTAATTAAATTTAAATTTAAAGCTGCATACAAAGCTCATCGTGTAATATAATTGCTAAATGTTGTTGTGGAAGAATTATAAAAATTAGGTGATAAGATAGGAAGACGATATCTGTCTCTACTTCTTGATGTTATCCCTGTACTACTCTGTGCTGTTTGAGAATGTAATAGCATTCTACATAATTTGTCGACCTCTTCGTCACTCGAGCTAAATCTATTCAAATGTCTATCGCTAGCAGAACTTGGAGAATCATCACAGTTCTCAAGATCAAATCGTAATCGCGAGTCTATATGTACGGGGCTAGATGCTCTAGTAACAGGCGCAGTCCTGCTACGAGATTCGACATTTCTCAAAGGTATTTTACTAAGACCTTGATTATGATTCACATCCAATGTTGAAAAGCATCCCTTTATAGCCCGACGTACTGTTGTGTGATCCTCTAGACTATGACGTTTCATCATTTGCTTTGTTTCTTTAGTATCGGGAAGCTTCAAACTGAAATTCGTGGAATGACGTTTAGTTCGATCCAGTGTGCATTTAGAGTTAGTGAACTTTAATTTGTCTTTATCAAATGTCAAAGAATTTCTTTTCAATTTCTCATCTAGAAATCTTTCCTGACTAGCATCCCAACCAAATCTAGTTCTTCCATGTGGGGCCGAATATCTTTTAATCCTTGCATCAGTTTTGGACAAATGTTGATCACTTAAATTCTCTTTTACTATATTACATCGTAAACCTTCTTCATAATCTATCGAAATTCGTGTACTTCTCGACGAGTCGCTCTCATTAGTCCTGCGTTTCATACAATCTTCGTATTCAACAGAGGAATGTCTTTTAAACTTCTCCTTATCGTAATTTATGCTGCTCCGTTTAGGTCGAATCGTACTGTTTGGTTGCCTCCTTGCGGCAATAAAATCTTGCAAATGCGGTATTTTTGATGTGCTTTGTGAAGTGGAGAACTGAGTGGGTCTTCTGATACCAGTGTCTACCAGGAACTCATCGTCTGACTGCATCATAGATATCTCCGGCATGGAGCTAAAAGCCCAACAGGAATTATAGTGAGCCGCGTTTGTTAGTGCTCTTAAAGCGGCAAAGTTCGGCGCTCTATCCTTGCCGCTGATGTTAGTAGAAAATTCATGCGGATAATCCCGTGTTAGTACAGAATGTTGCTGCTGCTCTTGCTTATTTTCTTTTACAAGCGACAGAAAGAAAGATTTGGCAAAGGCGGAAGAATTATATTCGTTTGCTTGGCTTGACTGCTTTCTAAACTTTGTGTAATCATCGTTAACATCGTAATACGAACGACATTGGAAATCGCTTTTGTACTCCTGTTCACAAGCAGCCGGCAATGTAAGAAGAGCCTGAAATACTGCTAATTTGGAGCAGCTACACTGTGGCTTAGGTGTAATATAATCATTAGATGATCCATTCATAAAGTGAAAATGCGATGTATTAATGCATGAGTTGGAATATCCCGCTCTTTCCCAAGGATGTGTTAATTGGATTCTGTTAGGTGTAAAGCAGACACAACTTATAATTAGTTTGACTTGAGTTAACAGAAAATTGATGCGTATTTTACCATATATTAGCAAAAAGCATAACGAATAATTTTAGATAATATAATAAATAAGTAAAATATAACTTAGTATATTTGTATAATTATTCATAATATTCGTTAATATAAAGTTTTAATTCAAACATATGAAACTAATTATGTTATTTTCAAACATATATTAGTTTTATATTCTTCTGAATTTTTTTCAAATTAAATTTTGCTTACCTTGTTTTCAAGCTTTCGATTGCTTGACGCGAAGAAGCAGTTCCATCTGCAAAATATAATTGCTTTAGTTTGGATAATTCAGGCAAATAATTATTATTATTAGCTTCATTCATTATTAGCTTATTAATCTCTTCCTTCTTGTTTAATTAATTTCTGAATAGCATTAATTAAAATCCACTTAATTAGTTATTCTCTTTAAATGTTAACACGAATTAAAAATTTGTACTTTGGGAAATGGTTTGGACTTGCAAGACAGATGACAGGATTACTTGGACACAAATTTCCGCTTCTCAATTTCTGTTATCATTAAATAATATAAATTGCTTACATTTGATTAATAATAACTCTGTTTTATGCAATGCTTCCTTATTTTCCTCTACATGCTCACCTTTTGACTGTGATCTAAAATATAGATTTATATAGTTTCAATACAGAATAATATTTATACAAATTTTAATTTATAAATTAATTTATTTTATAAATTAATTTATTTTATAAATTAATATATATCACTATAACTTACGATCCTCTTGTAGAACTATCAGTTCCTGTTCTTGTCCAACCTGAGAAAATATTATTCAATTGTTATCAAAATTTTTAATTAACATTAATTTTTGTTTCTAATAGTTAATAATATAATTAATAATAGTCATTAATAATAGTCATTAAAAATGTACAATCACTTGTAAAAGTTAAAAAATTATAATTATTTATTGCTATTAAATAATAAATAAATTATACATATAATCAAATAAAATATATTTTACAATTTAAATATAAATTATGCAAGAAATTAATAAGCATGATAATTAATATTTAAAACAAAAATTGCAAGTAGTATTTATTTAATAATACCTTGTTTTACCCCACTTGCTGATTTTCTTGCTGTATTTATACTTGATAACTTCTTTTCTTCCTCCAATTTTTTGGCATCCTCCATATCCTGCCTGTTAAGCTTTGTTGTCAACTATACAAAAGATAATGTTAAAAAAAACAGTTTCTTACAATAATTCGTATATGTATTAAAATTACTTACATTTTGGCCTTCGTATTTGACATCTATTTCATCTAATTTTTGTGTAACATTTTTCAAGATAAATAATACATCTCTATCTTTTTCATTGTTGACTAGATGTCTTACAACCGACTCCAATGATGTTAGCAATTTTTTATCAGCCGGTACCCACAATAAACTTTTTAATTGAGGTAGCAAAGATACTACTTTCATTCTTATATTAGCTACCGAATCTTCAGTCAAATTTAATAAAACATTGAAAAAATGTTCCTTAAAATACGAAGAAGAAAAGATTTCCAGAGCTTCAACCATCATACGAACAAACATCATTCTCACATAACAATCAGGACTATTGGCTAAATCCGTAAAGATTCTATTGCGCATGTCTGCTCTTTGTATAGATTTCATGTTGTATCGTAGAAGAAAAAGAAAGAGTGTTCCCGCAGTAAGACGTACCGGTATTGGCCGCTAAAATTTTAAAATTAAATCTGTATATTTAATAAAATTTTAAAATTTTAAGAATAAAATATTAAATATATGAGCTTACTGCATGTAAAATTCTGGAGAAAGCCATTGGAACAAAATATGAGTATATAAAATCATTAGGAAAACATTTGGGTAAAATTTCTAGCTGTGTATGCATTAATGATACCAATCTCCAATTATGTGTAGTTGCAACTTCGTTTTCACATTTTATTAAGGCTTTACCTAGATTCATCAGACTAGAATCCTATAATAAATAATATATTTTAGAAGCTTTATTTTAAAGTATGTAAAAATATTAATTACCATCTTATCTGTTCCAATAGTTTGATTTTCAACTAAATATTCCAGTGTTAAACCAACATGAGGGATTAAACCTTGAAGCACTTCCTCGGAGTCATCTTTCAGCAATTTTATTAAATTTCCTTTTATTCTTGCACTTTTTGGCCCTAGAATCTTTGTCACCTACAAAAATACTTTATTATTACCTATACAAATGTTATAATTTAATAAATATATTTTATCTTACTTCATGAATGCCGCATGCAACGGTTTTTCGAACCATATAATAATAATCACTTGTCAACGCATCAAATGTTGTAAGTATTGCATCTGTATCTTCTGAAGAGTTTGACACAAAGATAAACATTGCCGGCAAATTAAATGCACAGTGTCTTCTACATTCGATGTATCTTTCGTCTTGAGTAGGTTTGCTGCTAATCTACAAAATTATGTTAAGATTGAATGTTACAATTAAGTTAATATTGATAATTTGAATTAATTATGTTATATAATTTTTAGATTAATTTATTTATATATATCTACAGTATGTATACCATTAATATATATCGCAATATTACAATATTATATATATATATATATATATATATTCTGTACTG